TACTGTACCTGGGAACTCTCCTGATCCGAAACGTCTATATGACCTCAATTACAGGGTGCTGTTGGACAGAGTTACGGTGACCTGAAGCTCTGGCAGACCTACCCCTTGACTTGGTTTTGGAGGGTGAATGTACTTCAAATGATAATCCCCTCTCTGATTGTGTACCTACTATACACAGTGCCAATTTGCTACCACAGACTTTCTTCAAAAGCTTACATCGGATTTTTCTGACTTTTGTTTGGCATGGGAAACGACTGGAGATTATCCTATAACATGTTACATAAAGATGAATTGGATGGTGGGGTCGGTATCCCAGATGTAGCCCTGTATTATAAGGCTATGGCTGCGTATTCTGAACTGGCGCTTCGATGCCGCTACTAAAATATGGGTCCCCTGGAGAAATCAATGGCTGATAGAAACCTGGCAGGAGCATCATGGCTTCCAACTGCCTCTAGAGGACTTTCTGACTGGACATCTCGCTGACATGTAACACATTGGCGGTCTGGGACAGACTAAATGTGACTGGCCACTACACCTCCACGACACCTTCACTGGCGCCCTTGGGGGGATTCCCATGGTTCCCTCCAGGTGAAGACCTTACATTTTTACATTCTTATGGTACGGACGAGGATAGATCCTGTGTGAAATTTGCCCCTCATGATAAATTACTGCTCTTACCCGTAGTACAGGCTACATATGAACATTTCCCGCTTTCAGACTGAAGGTACCATCAGTTATCAGACGTTTTAGTAAGTTAGTACCTAAGTTAAGGACACGGAACGCTCTCGCCCCGTCCGAATCCATGTTTATCAAACTTACGGACACTTGCTTTCCCATATGTATAAACTAAATCCTTAGCGCTCATTCTCTGTCCATCACGTACTTTATGCGGGAATGGGAGAAGGAACTTGCATTGGAATCCCCCCCCCACCAAATCTCATGAATTATTAAACTGACCCATGCAACCTCCATTAGCACCCATATTCAAGAGTCGTCCTATAAATTCCTAACTGGGCCAGATGTATCCTACTGCTGATGTGTGCTGTTTGAGGGGTTGTGGACAACGAGGCACCTTTCTCTACATCTGGTGGTTCTGCCCTAGAATCAAAGCATTTTGAGGAACGATTGCACCTAGGTTGCAAAGACAACTCTTAGATCCATAACCTGCTCTCCTTTACACTCTCTTTCATGGCGTTCCCTCCTTCTTAAAATCCTATAAACAGAGTGTCACTCCACATTTGCTGAATGCTGCAAAATCCTTAATCCCTAGATTTTGGAGGCAGACTACCTTTCCTTTGCTGGCTGACTGGAAAAGGGAAGTGAATACGATTATGGAGGCGGAGTGTTGGGAACATACAGTTAAAAACCAACAAAAGTTTGGGGATGTCTGGATGTTTTACTCTGGATGCTTAAATACAAAGTATTCTAATGGTATCGGTCAAAACCCCATTGGCTACTCTTACCTGGATTTATTTCTCTACTGCGTGTTATTGCTGCACTTACCTCCCCCCTCCCTTTGGTTTTATATTTGTTGATATTTTGCTAATAAGATTGGTCTATTTTTCCTATAAAATGTATCTATATAGGATTGTGTATTGTATTGTATTGTACTAGCCTTCTATATTTGATTCAATCACTATTAATGCCTTGTTTTGCACTGGCTACAACTTTCTATGGCATTTTCTTATGTGGCTAACTTTGGAATCCCATGTACCTTGTTGTACTGCTGTACAATATTGGCATCTCCTCTCTGTTACCTTTTCTTTATGCTGCCTCTGCAAATCAATAAACTTTGATAAAAAAAAAAAGAAACTTATCCAATGCTTGATCTCCAATGATCAATTTTACTTGGTATCTGTGTCACTAGTACTGAAGTAAAATTTAATGAACAAATACTACGTTGCTATGTTACTTAAAGAGACCCTGTCACCAACTAAAAAGGCAGGTAAAAGCACCTAAAAACTTTAAATGCTTACTGGCAGTGTATTTCCTTTCCATAAATTATTTTTTATTCACTTGCAATGTGCATTTGAACATGCTAGAAAATGTAACTACTCAAGAAAGAGTAAATTTCCTAAGCACAGCTCCCTCTCTATCTGCACATCATAGCCCTCACCTTTTCTAGGAGTGTGTTGGAAGAGTAATCTGAGTCTTCTGACATCACATTCAAGATAGTTGCACCCAAAAGCTGTCAAAGGGCTTTTGGATGTATACACAAGGGATGTTTTTAAAGGTAAATAAAATCGATAATGTGGGAGAAGTATGTTAAATTGAGTAGTCTACTGCGTCTCTTTTACCACTTCAACACTGCCATACGTATATATATGGCCTGGTATTGAAGCAGTTATACAACCATGATCCTGATATCTTTTTTTAGGGTCAGTGATTCTCTTTTTTGAAAAGTAATGGCTATGCAGTGGCTGCTCACTTTTAGTTTCACCTCCCTCCTTTACCGGGCTCTCCTGTTCAATCAAGGAGCCAAATAAAGATGTGGCTGGCGGCATCGGCTCCCCCAGACACAGTTCGAGGGACTGATGTTGTTCCTCCCACTGTATGCTGAAAATGATGAGGATTTTGTCATGTCCGGTTTGTTTGCTTATAGTTACGGGCTTCTGAAGCAGCAGATGAAACCGATCTTGGTTTGATCTGCTGCTTCGAGGCCAGAGGAGAGATCTGGGGTTTAACCAGCCTACCAGGCAGTTTCAGTGCTGCCGCACTTTGATTGACAATTGTCATGCAACATTGTACCCATGAAATTTTGATCATTTTTTTCTCACAAATAGGGATGGTATTTCATGGGCGCTTTATTTTTGCGCTATAGCAAAAAAAGTGCAAAAAATTTAAAAAAAAAAAAAAAAGTTTATTTGAAAAATTTTTCAAACAGATATTTTTTTATTCTCTTTGATTTGCATGCCAGACACTGATAGGCTATGAGGTACGGATAACTGATAGAGCACTTTAACGGATAGGCGGCACTGATATGCAGCACTGATAGGCGGCACTGATAGGTGACACTGATTTATGGGTACTGAAGACGGCACTGACTGGCATCACTTCTGGGCACTGACTGGCGGCACTGACTGGCACAACCCCTGGGCACTGACTGGTGGCACTGACTGGCAGCACTGCTGGGCTGCACTGGTGGGCGGCACTGGTGGGCAGCACTGGTGGGTGGGCACAGGTGGGTGGCACTGGTGGGTGGCACTGCTGGCACATGTAGGTGGCACTTCTGGGCACAGGTAGGTGGCACTGCAGAGTGGCACAGGTGGGGGCACTGCTGGGCACAGGTGGGGGCACTGCTGGGCACAGGTGGGGGCAAAAAAAAACTGCTGGGCAAAACAATCATCAGTGCCCTGATGATCGGTTTTCCGAGCTCTGACAACTGCCGGTTCTCGGCAGTACTACGATCTGACAAGGAAAAGCCGAGAACCGGCACTTGCATTTTCCTGTGAAGCGTGTCATTGGACACCGCTGATCACGTGGTAAAAGGCCGGTGGGATCGGCCTTTCACCACATCTCGTGATCAGCTGTGTCCGTAGGACACAGCGATCACGGAGATCGCCGGGTGCGCGCCCCCTGGGGCGCGCAGGAGAGCGCGTTCTGGGAGGACGTCATATGACGTCCACCCAGAACTAGCCGGCCGCGGTGAAGCCGTCATTCGGCTATGCCGGTCGGCAAGTGGTTAATAGAACCCAGATCTCTCCAAAAAGGACTTGTCATGGCCCATGTCACAAGGGATGTTGTTCATCAATTGTGATAGCAATAAAATGGTTGAACTGGATGGACTTTTGTCTTTTTTCAGCCAGACTAACTATGGAGATTTAAAGAAAAAAAAAAAACAATTAAAAAGGAAAAGTATAAAAAAAAAAAAAAAAAAAAAAAAAGGGCTCCCACCACCCCATGCAAAGGCGAATGCACACGACGGTGTGACACGACGGTGTGACACGCACATGTGTAAACAGTCACACCCCACGTGAGGTATCATCGCAAACATCACAGTGATAGCAATAATTCTAAGGCAAGACGTCCTTGTATGACTCTAAACTGGTAACTTGCAAAGGCTTTTAAAGTGGTGCCTATGGATAATTTTAAGTACTGTAGTTTGTCACCATTCCACATGTGTGTGACATGTTTGGTATCTATTTACTCGGTGTAACATCATCTTTTATATTTTACCAATTATTTTGTGTTTGTGTTCACTAAAATTCATTAATGTGTATTTTTTCCCAAAAAATTGTTTTTAAAAAACCACTGTGCAAATACCATGTAACATAAATTGCAAGACCCATCATTTTATTCCCTAGGGCCTCTGCTTAAAAAATATATAATGCTTGGGATTCTAAGTAATTTTCTAGCAAAAAAATGCTGATGTTTACATGTAGGAGACAAATGTCAGAATTTGCCCAGTAGGCAAGTGGGGAAAGAATATCTATCACTTTGTACATTCAGTGTATCTTATACTCCGCTTTGAATGCTCTCCTGCTACTCCTTTAATCTTTTGGAGAACAGTCTTAACTCTGTGTAAGCTCTGTATGACGGAACTTACACATGGTTTAATGGCCTTCTCCCTGCCCTGATGTAACAGTGCTGGAAGCCTGGTAACTGGCCCTCAGGCTTGAACATTGTATCTTGGAAGGAAGGGGAGGTCACGTGCCCTATGCCAAGAAATATCACATATTTCTTAGCACTCCCACAGAGAGAATGGTGGTTTCTGAGTTCCTTATCAAGAGAACAGATCAGTATGCCCTGAATAAACAAAGCGATAGATTCTCTTTAGGAGTCTGAAGCATTATAAGTGTGCTAAGTTTGAATCAGGAAAATGTTACCATTAGCATGCATTTAATACCCTACACATCCTGTCCAAAAGGAAAACACCAAGCTCCAGATGGCAAGCTAACATTTTAACTGTCAATTTTTTAGGGTGAGAAGGGATGAACATGTCTCATTAGGCAACGCAGTCAGTGTAAGGTGATAATAGCAGTTTCCATCTCTTTACATACATGAGGTGAGTGCTATCAGGGGTCCAGTCTGGTCGGTACTTGGCACCCATCTCCAGAGCTTTATCCCTGAGGTCCGAACGGAAAGGGTTCTGGAAACCGCTCAGCACAAAAACTGTTCCCTGTAAGATCCGATTCAGCTCCACTGGCTGAGAACTGGAAGAATTCTTCTTCTTGGCGGGTTTCTCAGGGGGTGGGGTCTTCTTAGGAGGAGGAGCTTGAGGCTCAGCTGAAACAGCACCAACAAAAGAGATTAATGGGTAAATGTCATGAACTGCAGTTCAGTACACAAGGTCAGGTAACACTGTTTTGTTAATGCGGTCAGTTAGACCAAGAGAACTCCACAGTTCTATCAACTTCCATACATTAGCCAGACAGTACCTTTAATTTTCTTGGGTGCTGGCTGTGAGCTGTTCTCTTTGGAGCTAGATGGGGACACCTTGGCAAGAGGACGGCTAGGGGACTCCTTGTTGAACTCAAATTTGCGTTTGCCAGATGAAGGTTCCTGTAAGAGAAAGCTTTATTATTATTTAAGATGAAAAAAGATTGCCTGCTGATGTACAGTGTTAAATTGGAAGTAAAGAAAAAAAAAAAAATTAATACTCACCTAAGTGGATGCATCAATCTAATGCTGCATCTGTCCCCAGCCAACTCTGCAGTGAGAACTGAGCGATCAAACACCACTGATCACTCAGTACTCCTCTCCGCTCTGAGCAGAGGGCCGTTACTGTCAATCTCCGGCTCTCTGCTCTGCCCCAAAGTATATGATATGGGGGTATCAAGAAAAAAAGCTGAGATACAGGTGTATAGTAGACCTGTAATACTTTTGTTTCAATAGATTCAGTTTTCAAGGCCCGAAAGAGCTCCACCACAGTTCCAGTTTATAAGAATAACCTCCGTGCTCCCTCTAGTGCAGCTCTCTATGAGCCGGGTACCAGTTGTGCAAACTCCTCTATAGTTCCTGCAATACAGCCCCCGCGGCACCAGCTTGCACTGAACGTTTGTTTGCTTCCCTGTTGCTCCACTTCACATTATTAATACAGGTACTTATATAATAATAGCATAACGATACATTCTAAGCATACTGTATACAGTTACAGAGAAAAAAAAAAGAAAAACTACATTACCTTTGGTGTGGCATTGCTGGGTGAAGTTTTGGTGACTGGCTTATCACTGCTGGTATCTGTGGAGCTGGATCCCTGTAATGCCACAGAGGCGTAGCTTTGTGAGGGTGGGGGTGCTATGGGACAAGTACAGGGAGAAAATACATCAACCAAAGCAAATAATACCCATCACAAATGTTCTGCAAAAAACTGTGCATCACTATTATTCACTAAAGAAACAGGCCCATAGATAAAATGTGAATTGAGCTTAAAGTGGTATTAAACCCAAAAACAAAAATGTAATATATTGCAGCTTACAAATTCTTAGAGGTGGTGGCTACATTTTTTTTTCCTTTTTAGGCTTTTCTGTCTCACCCGGTGATTCGGCAAGTTAACACACTGCCTTTGCTAGGGAGTCTGCATTCTGGAAGAAGTAGTAAGGCCACATACACACTGGAACGTTTTTCTGCTAGCAGCAGAAACACGCTAAACGCGGAACAAACACGTGCAAACGCTGTAAAGTGTTTAGTGCTTAGAGGTTTATTCATTTCATTGGCTAGAGTACTTGTCACTGAAATGGATAAACACCCAAGCGCTAAACGCGATTAGCGCTTAGGCCAAAACCTTCCTTTAATGAACATGATTCTTCTGCGTTCAGCAGAGGGACATTTCACTGACCCTAAACCCTGCTTCTGTTAATCTCTGACAAATGTCCATGTGTGCGTGGACTTTTACTGAGTTTAGTTTAGGAGCTGTGGCAAAATACGCCAAAAGTTCTTGAACTCACGTTCATGAGCAGCAGTGTACACTAGGTCTAATGTACACACCTTGGGAGAGCAGTATTGTCAGTTTGGGGGAGGACAGTGTTGATGACAGTGTTGTAAGGCATAATTAGAACCGAGATATGATGTAGGCTTCTTCTCAGATCCGTCCTCCTGAGGTATATGCAATGCTTGCGGAAAGGCAGTGTGATGTCCCAGACAATTACAGAATGTTTTTTTTCCCAGCTTTTCTATTTATTTTTTTGGTGATTTCTTTTCACAATGGGAAGGCAATTTTATGGTGAAAAAAAAAAGATCCTAGAGCAAATTTTAAAATGATGTCACATTCAATAAATGCCTCTACTGCTTTCAGATATAATGCGGAGGTTACCTTTTGGAGGAGTACCTTCTGGCTTGCTGGTGCGACTGAAAAAAAGGCTCCCAGGACGCATTGGTGGCGATGAGCTCTCCTCCTCTTTCACCTTAAACTGGCCCAATTTGGTGACTTTCTAAAGATACAGTAAACATAAGAAAACAGCTCTGTCTACTCTAGAGCAACATGAAGCCAGCAGTAATTATTTCTAGTGCAGCTTACAAAAGTAAACCAGGAACTAAAATGTGCATTTATTTCATTCTTGCTAACTTTAAGCCAAACTCAGGGCAGATATTAAAAATATATGATTTAACTCAGCAAAGTATTAATTTAAAAAAATGTTAAATGCATTCTAACATAAAATTGGTACTATTGGCATTGATACAAGCCCCACATTAAGAGAAGGATGGGGCTTCATACTGAGCCAATAAGGGTTCTGCTGCATTTGTGAGGCCATGTCAGTTTATCTTCATGAATTAGCTTACAGGAGGGCAAAGCAGAGTGATAACCTCATCAGAGTGCTTCTACTCCTTATCTGCCAATTCATAGGCTGGAACTGGCTGGTGACCAAGCAATAGAAGACACCCCTGCCAGACAGCATGGCTAGATCACTAGCCCAGCCATGCTGTCTGGAAGGGGTGTCTAGATCAAAAGTTTGCCAGGAGTTCGGCTTTAAACTTTATCTTCATTCTTTACACCACACACATAATACCAATTAATCTTCATACCGGAGAAGAAGGCATTGGTTCATCTTTGTCCGGTGGAGAGTTAAAACGAATAAATGACAGTCCATACGCCAGATTCTAAAGGAAAATAGAGAGAGAAATAAATAGAGAGAACTTGATCACATTTCCAAAGTAGTATTAACCTCCCTAGCAGTCTGATTATGTCAGTATTTCTGTGCTCAAAGCGGTACATTGTTTTCAATGGAAATATGTTGTTTTTTTATTGTAGGCTGTAATATTTAGGAATAACTCACTGAAATCTGTCCGAACAAGAGTCTAGTAAACATCCCGGGTATGATAAAATTTGAAACACGAAATCATAAATTATAATATAATAAATCATAAAAAATAATAATAATAATACATTTTATTCAATAATGTAATCAAACCAAAAAACACTGAAATTTGAAATATAGCACCAAGTTCGCACATCACTGAGCAAAGTCGCAGAATCGTTTTCAGTGTCTGATGACGAATTTCCCCATGAATCATTATCACTCAATTCTGCAAGTGGTTCTAATTTACTTTTGCTGTTCTCTAGCTGGTCTAAAACTGCTTTTGACCTAAAGGGACGCTTTTTGGATGCCATGGACGTTTCGCATTTCCAGGCAGAAAGAACAATAAAAATGCAGGCAGGGCGCAGGACAAAGCACTCGGGACAAAATGTATGTGAAATGGTTTGATACAGTAATGTAATACTATCAGATTTTAGTGTATTATGTGTATGGAAAATGTTTACATTTTTGAATCTCCCGCCGGTTCCGCCTCCTGTACATCCCGACACTCGCAGGGAATGGAACCCGGAAGACGGATGCTGGCATCGGCCAGAGGACATGGCCGGAGATGCAGCGGGAGGTCAGCGCGGCGGGACAAGGTAGGTGATCCAGGGATCCCAGAGCAATGCTGCAGTGTAATCCTGAGTGTAGCTTGGGGTTACCACTTCTGGTACTGAAACCTAACCCGAGCTACATTCAGGAATACCGCCAGGTGGGTTAAACACTTATTGAGTTAATGTTTTGCTTTAGATCAACTTTTCTAACTGCACTTTCACATTTTTTCAAATATTGTTTATAAATGATTTTTGAAACTTGAATGTCACTGTTGCCCACTCTCAGTACTTTCACAAACCCCCCCCCCTGACAGGGGGACTACATGTAATATGATTCCTTACATATATTGTTTCTTTTACAGCACATACTGTTGTCAAAAACTTTCTGCTGGTGGAAAAAGACTCCTGCACTGGAGAAACAGCAGTAAAGTGAGAAAATGTTAGTTTTTATTTTTCTTGAGTAACAAAGTTTACTTTTCTTTTTTTTTTCAATTAACTTTATTAGCCAGCTTTTATTCAGTGCTGCTGTCAATCTAAGGGCTGATGGTCAGAACAGTGTTTTAGCCACTGAGAAGCCAGTCTGTGCCTAGTGCATGTTCACATGCGGCTTTAGTCCCAGCTGGGAGTATGGCCGTAAGGGTGACTACTCTGTGGCTCCAAAAAGGGACCCTGCAAGGCAACATAGCCACCCTACAGACAGAAGTGTAGTTTGGAAGCGTTTTGGTTTCTTCTTCTGAATAAATGACCCTGAGAAAGAACTTTTTTTTAAAACTGTTACTGCCTTGTAATTAAATGCTTTGAGGATATTTAGCAAATCTGTGCATGTACAAACGATGCAGCACTTTACATGCAAAGAGGAGAAATGGGAAACTAAAGTGAATAGAAAGTTTTGAATAGATAGGGGAGGCTGTTTAGAGCTATCTTTGTCGAAAAAGGTTGGATTTCCCCTCAACTAGGAGAGATTTCCTCTTGTTTTGAAAATGCTGTCTAGCAGTCACAGTGGGGGAGATTTTCTGAAGCTGGTGAACACAGATTTTGTTGCAGCTGTGCATAGTAACAAATCAGCTTCTATCTTCAGCTTGTTCAATTAAGCTTTAACAATAAGAACTCGATGCTGATTGATTAAAATGCACAGCTGCACCAATTCTTTGTGCTCCAGTTTTAGAAAATCTCCCCCAGTATTCCAGATGTTTTGATACCTTGCACAAATCTGCAGATAATAAGTTGTGACTTCATACTAGCAAAGCTTGTTACATGTTTATTCCAGCTTAATATCTCCTAAATAATTGACGCTAGATGGAGGAGAACAATGGCAAACTACATACGTCTCTTACCCCAGTTTTATTTAAAATATAAAAAACATTGGTAAAGCTCACCTTCGTGTATGGCTGAGTGCAAGCTATCTTCACTCTGTCCCATTTCTTCTCAGCTGCCGCCTTCACCAGTTTGTCTGGCCCGAACATCCTTGTGCGATTCAGGTTGGTTCCACTTTTGCTCTCGCTTGGTGACATGAATGAGGACATTCCCAGGATCACCTACTCAGAAAGGTATAGTGCTACTGCACATTCTGATATTCTGCATTATTGCCTACATTAGCTGTAAAAGAAGGGGGAAGCTATATAACCCCAACACACGCTGGCTATCAGCTCTTTATAAAATATGTTTTTATTTTCATCTGAGCGTCTGAGTGATCCATCCCTTTGGCACTCCATTATCTGCTGTGCTTCAGGTTTCCATACAATGTCCTCCAGCTATTCACAGCTACCTAACTGCCCACAGAGCTGCCTATTAACCACACTTATATTACAAGTCTAAAACATGAACACTTTTCTCAGCTCCACAGCCATTCCCAACTAAACTTGCCAATACTGTGCATTATGTGCCATACTTTCACCTAAATAAGACCCGTAAAAGAGCCAGTGGGCTGGCAGCTACTTGCTCTGCAAGATTACTGAGGAAAAGTGTATCCAAAGCCATTTTTTTTGGCTCGCTTCTCAGGGACACAATCGTAAATGAAAAGAAATCCCCACCACAAACAGTTGGCACCGAAACCAAATGTCTTCATAGAAACATTGAAGAGTGTGTCCTTTGTGTGGTCCATCAATTCTACCCCTTCCTTCTGCTGGCAATCCCTCTGTTGATAACTAAAAATCTATACAGTAGAATATTCAGTAGACCTCCTTTCCCCTGTTGATGATCCCTCTAGTGATGCACCCATAATTCTGTTTGCTTTCCCCACTATCAGACAACAGCGTTTGCTCTGGTGTTTCCCCTCACTTCCTGTACCTGTGACAATGGGTAAAATGTTGGATTTCCCATTTCTTTCTACCCTGGTTAATCACCCCCAACATGATGCACACAGCAAAAGAAAAAATCAGACAGGGTTTCTAACCTTTCCCCACCCTATCCAAAACTGAAAAAAGTGCATGTAAGTATAAGTGCAAATTTCCACCATAATATTCTAAACTCACCTCATACTCCTGTTCGCTCACGGAGGTCGAGTGGCCAACCAAAACCTCCACAAAGGCCGATGCTTCATTTCCTATGTCAATACTGTGGATCTGCTCTTCCTTTTCAAACTACAACACAGACAAGAAAAAACAATACAAGCTAATCAAATATTTGAAATCGCAAGTAGGCTTTAGAATCAAAATGCAGAAAACAAGTGAATGTACATTCACAGATAAATATCTACAACATTATTGATGAGAGAAAACCAAAGGGGTGCTGGGAACCCATTCACTGTCTACTTAGGAGACAGCCACCTTTTTTCTCTGAGAGCGCTAAGCAATTATATTTAGCCTGACGTTTTTGTGTTTATTTATTTACAGTATCGCAAATGAGAACAATACTTAAAGCCAAAGCCCAGTCTTCCCTTCAGTCTTGCATAGTTGCACAGGCTCCTTTCCTGTACTGAAATTACTTGCTTTGATTTCACTGCACACTGTGAGCTTCTCAAAGTATACATTAGAAGCTGCAGCAAGTCAAACAGAGCCCACCCCATTTCCTGATTGAAGAATGTCCAGCATTATCTACCTCTTTCTTCCAACACCTGTCTGTCTCTTGCCTACCCCTTACATTTCACTGGATTTAATTTCTTTCAAACATGGAGGCTCAGCATCACATGCGGGTGTCACCTAGGCTGGTCTACATGGAAATATAGTCTTCTTAGGAACACCCACTCCTCCAGATTAACATGCACTCATCAAGGCATTTTTGATAATTGCATAACTCCTCCCAAGAGCCAGCTCACTGCTTGCATCAGGGGCTGAGGGTTCTGGAGAGGAGTACTGAGTCAGGGTGCTGTAACATATTCAGGAAGCTATGTACAGCACCCTTCTGGCCTTTCCAACAATCAATGATCTGATTGCATTGCACAGAGAAGCACAGACCCAGCGACTACATCACTGGGTACATAATACAATAAGTAATGGAAAGGATTTCTTATAAAATGTCATTAGCATGAAATTCTGGATTTAACAGATACGTTCACCTTTATAGTAACATGTTACATCCATATTTATGTTACGGAACCACCTGCCAGCACCCTGATGCGATCTCCCATTGTGACAGCCTGCTGGGAGATCCTCTCCCCAGCCCCGCTGTCACAATTTAAATACAGCTCGGTTGTGCGGGGCTCCACCCACAAGGCCAAGCCATTCATTCCCAGTTTCTTGTGAATGAACAGACTACAAGTACCGTCAGCCATTGCGGTAGATGGCTGTCGTTCTCAAAGAACTGCAAGTGTGGTGGTGAGTGTTCTTGTAGTTCATTGATCTTCCTGGAGCCCAAATGGGAGGTACAGGCAGATAGCTGTACTGGCAGTCTGCAGAAGCCTGCAATGCTTTGCAGGCTGCTAAGAAAAAAAAATGCACCTTTTTTTTATCTGCAAAAAATGCGCATTTATATATTTTTTTTTTAAAAGGTGAACTTATCCTTTAAAGATGTTGGCTGAATATTCTGTGAGCCCAGGCTGTCATGTACAAGCCCTGCCATCTCTAGGGTGCTTCATTATATTGGCTAGGACTCAGAATACAAAATTGCAGAGCAGTGCCATGTCATAACATAGCATCGCCCTTTGCAGTATTGAAGATCAACCACCAACTGTGTCTGATAAAAAGGAAATGATTTGATCTTATACACTCAGTACCTCTTTCAAAATATTATTTGGGTTCCACATGCACCAATGCTTTTCTTGTATATTGAGTATACTCAGGTTATGGAGTTATATATCCCGATATTGATAGGGCATTGGTCTTCACCATAACAAATAACAGGTTATTAGCTGTTGATTCATGTTTTGTCAAGTCATTTATTCATAAAGCCAGGCATGTTTTACTTTTTATATTTTGTACCCTTACTTATATAGCTCGTATCTTTACCAATGTTATAAAGAATTATTAAAAGAAAAAAAAAAGAAAAAGAGGAAAGGACCCCCAGGACATCACATGACCAGTCACTATTTGGAAGAATGTATGGGGTAACTTAAAAAAATAAAATAAGTGCAGGAGGGCAGTGTGGGGGAACCTTTTTAAAAAGAGTTCCGATTTATTACTTCAAACTTTTCAAAGTTTGTCTCTCACCTGCAGAATGACAGAGATCTGCTTCTCGCCAACTTGTTTGGCTTTCCACTTGCGATATGTGTCAGGTTTCAGCAAGTTCTCTGCTGTATGAGTCTAAAATATACAGAGAATAAAAAATTAATTTTGGGGTTATTAGCAAAAAATAAAAAGATAGCATTTTTGACAAGTGTTTTTGCTTATAATATCTTGAATTTCCAAGGGTTATATTACGTGTCAATGATCACCCGCCTCTTTTTACAAATGTTTGTTGTTGCTAAGACTGTGATTATTTTCATGAGTTCTGTGTCTAGCTCAAAATAGTTAATGGAGGATCCGCAGATCACAAAGTAAGAAACTGCACAGCAGGGCAAAGACCAGGATCACTGTAAAACACATCTTGCCCAACCCTTTCCCCCCACGAATAAACCTGACAGCGATAATGCAATCTCAGTTTGGAAATAGTTATAGTTACTTGCCACTTTCTTTTAGTTTTTCCACAGTCTCGATGGCTCGGTTCCCCCATGGGACAGCAACCTGTGCTTCCATTTGAAAATAATTTTAAAAACCTCATTGGTGGCCAGACTCTTGTTCCTTAATCTCTGGCAACCGCACTGATGGCATCAACCCCAGATGTCTGAAAAAAAAAAGCTGTTTCCCAGAGATGTCATGATAACTCCAGGGAAATTTTTTTTTTCAATTTCCAGATGAGATCCCCCTGGAAGGCACTACTGGTTACATAGCCTTCTTAGGGGGCAGCTGTGAGGCCGTCTATCACACCAGTGCCTCTGAATACCAGGAAGTGACAATAAATTAGATGTACAAAGGACACACTGCGGGTTGATTAATAAAACTGGAGAGTACAAAATCTGGTGCAGCTCTGTATAGAAATCAATTAGCTTCCAGGTTTTGTCAAATCCTAACCCCTTAATGCTAGTGCCTCCCAGGCCTTTAAGGGGTTTCTGATGCCAGCAGACGGGGCAGATTTATGATGCCAGCAGACTGGGGGGGGGGGGGGGGGTTATGATCATGTGACCAGCGCAATTGGCTGTCACATGATTGGAAAGCTCCAGATTGAAAGTAGCGATCGGGAGCGGTTAGGCGTAGGTAACTATGCCAGAAACGTGCTCTCGGCATAGCTTTGTTTACATTTTAGTATGCATATATGTGGCCTCTCGGCACCAAGGCCCAGCCTGAGAGGCCACATATATGCATACTGTTGCCGTGAAGGAGTTAATTGAACAAGCTGAAGTTAGAAGCGGATTGGCTACCATTCACAGCTGCGCCAGGTTCTGAGCGCTCCAGTTTTAGTAAACCTCCCCCACTGTGACCAAAAAGAAACCAGGTAGTGTAAAATGACTTCATCTCCGCTTTCACTAGCACGAGAGGCTCCGTCAGGTGCATTTTGCCCCCTAGTGGGCGTACAAGTCCCATCATGCCTCTGCTTTTGGGAGTCTTGCTTGTAACTGTCAGCCTTGCATGCCTCATGGGACTTGTAGTTCTGCAACAGCTGGAGGGCCGCAGGTTGAACACCCGTGGCTTAATCGTTAAGGTAGTTCGTGGGAGAACCCACCTGTGGTTAACATCCCTAGCAGTATGATTATGTCTATATTTCTGTGCCAAAGCGGCACAGAAATTTTTTTTATTGTAGGCCTTTAATTTTTAGGAATAACTCACTGAAATCTGTCCGAACAAGAGTCTAGTAAAAATTCCCAGGTAGGATAAAACTTGAAACACGAAATGATAAATTATAATTTAATAAATAATCATAAAAAATAATAATAAATTTAATTCAATAATATAATCAAACCAAAAACACTGAAATTTGAAATATAGCGCCAAGTTCGCACATCACTGAGCAAAGTCGCAAAATCGTTTTCAGTGTCTGATGATGAATTTACCCCACGAATCATTATCACTCAATTCTGCAAGTGGTTCTGATTTACTATCGCTGTTCTCTAGCTGGTCTAAAACCACTTTTGACCTAAAGGGACGCTTTTTGGACGCCATGGACTTTTCTCAGTTTCCAGGCAGAAAGAACAGTCAAAATGCAGGCAGGGCACAGGACAAAGCAGTAGGGACAAAATGTATGTGAAATGGGTTGAAACAGCAATGTTTTATTATGTAATATTCGTTTATTAGAAAATGACATTTTTAAAATTTTTACATTTGCCGCCGGTTCCGGCCCCCGTACGTCCCAACATTCGCAGGTACCGGAACACGGAAGCCGGATGCCGGCATCGGCTGGAGGAGATGGCCGGGGACGCTGGAGGGGACACATCGCAGGAGCAAAAGACAAGGTAAGTGCTGCAGGGAATCCCTGAGCAACGCCGCATGGTAAGCCCGAGTGTAGCTCTGGGTTACCGCTTTTGGTACTGAAACTTTACCCCAAACTACACTCGGGAATACCGCCAGGGAGGTTAAATAGCATCATCAGCCATAGAGGAATATCATCCAGCTAGAAGGATAAGAACTACAGAGCCATCTAGTGGTGGGATGATCAACCTACCCAATAGGAGGTGAAACGCATCTGATGGACCTATCCTGCGGGTGGAGAGTAAAGCCATTTCACACTACCTGGTTTAGTTTTGTGAGTCGTTGTCTTGTATGAGACTGGTTGCCATTTTTCTTTCACATACTGTAGCCGGACAAGCTGTTTTATATGATCTGCACCAGTTCAGTACATGTCATGTTGGACAATATCAGTGATTGGTGCATTACAGCGGTATTTTTTCCTGTTTGTCTACATGCAAATTAAATCCGTAATTTTATATACGCCGTTTGGCTGTTTAAAGCTCCTGATGCCAAACTACACGAACCTGAGCTTTCTAGGTGTGGGGATGGGGAGAGAAGGGTCCACTTTAAATCTCCAAATGACATTTCAGAAGGATACTCACAGTGTCTGCACTGCTGCAGGAGACCACATGCTTCAGTTTGATCTCAGGCATTGTTCAGTGATAGCGGCTCTCCAACAGAACACCGGATACTTCTTCAGCAGCACAGAGAGTGCGCTCCACCTCCCAGTCTGCCTTGCTGTGTCACCAGGTGCCAATGCATGCCCACTGCAACAAACAATACAAAGGAACTTAGGGTTACGCTTCAGTTGTATATTATATTCTATTGTGGTATTTATGCTACTTTTGTTTTATTCCAATCCAAAGAACAAAGGAGGCTTTAGAGAAAAGTATTCCATTTACTTAAAGCTGAATTCCAGCCCTACGTTCAGTCTTGCTATTCAGGCTCCTGTACTGAAATGGTTTACTCCGATTTCACTGCACACTGTGAGCTTCTCACCATGTGCATTAGAAGCTGCATTGAACCAGCCTCATTTCCTGGCTGAAGGATGACCTCTAGCATCGTCTAACCTATTCTTCCCCAGGCTGACTGTCCCTGGGCCATCGCTTTTATTCACTGGATTTCAGTTCTTTCAATCATGGAGGCTCAGCATCACTTGTGGACATTACCTGTATACCTAGGAACTCCCACTCTTCAGACTGACATCCAGCCATCCTGACATTTGCACAACTCCTCGCAAAAACCAGCCTGCTGCTTACATCAGGATTGAGGGCTCTTTAAAGGAGTACTGAGGCAGGGTGCTGTGACATTTACAGAAAGATATATAAAGCACCCTGCCAGGCCCTCCCGCCAGCCATGCTCAGCCTGCATTGCATAGATAAGTACAGAGACCCACTGATGACAATACTGTGTATAACATAATATATTTAATGAAAACAGAAAGACGATATGTAACGTGCAGTGCAGGAGTCTCCAAACGTTCTACACATAGGGCTATATTACAGTCCTTCAAACTTTACAGGGGCCGGACTGTAGAGGGTGGAAAAAGAATGTGTCTTGGCATCAAAGGGAGTAAATAATGCCCCATCAATGGCATTAGGGGAGTAATATTGCCTCTTTGTTGTCAAACAATGTTAGGACTAGTGCACCATTGTTGGTGTCAATGAGAGGAATAGTGCCCCATCATTGGTATTAGGGGGATGAATAGTGCCTCTTTGTTAACAATGTTAGAAATCATGCCTCAACAGTGGTGTCAGTGGGAAGAATAGTGCCCCATCAGTGGTGTGTCAGTGGGAAGAATAGTGCCCCATCGTTGGTATGAGTGGGAGGAATAATGCCCCATCGTTGGTATGAGTGGAAGGAATAGTGCCCCATCATGAGTGGAAGGAATAGTGCAGTGGTGTCAGTGGGAATATAGTGCCCCATCAGTGGTATGAGTGGAAGGAATAGTGTCCCATCGTTGGTATGAGTGGAAGGAATAGTGTTCCATCGTTGGTATGAGTGGAAGGAATAGTGTTCCATCGTTGGTATGAGTGGAAGGAATAGTGTCCCCCATCGTTGGTATGAGTGGAAGGAATAGTGTCCCATCGTTGGTATGAGTGGAAGGAATAGTGCCCCGTTGGTTATGATCGTTGGTATGAGTGGGAGGAATAGTGTCCATTCCATCGTTGGTAAGAGTGGGAGGTATTGTGCTTCATCATTGCTGTCAGTGGGAGGAATAGTGCCTCTTCATTGGTGTCAATGGGAGGAATAGTGTTCCATCACTGGTAATAGTGTCCTATCTTTGGTGTTAATGGAAGGAATAGTGTCCCATCAGTGGAAGGAATAGTGTCCCATCACTGGTGTCAGTGGAAGGAATAGTGTCTCATCATTGTCGTCTGTGGGAGGAATAGTGTCCCATCTTTGGTGTCAGTGGAAGGCATAGTGTCTCATCATTGATGTCAGTGGGAGGGAATAGTGCCCCATCACTGGTGTCAGTGGAAGGAATAGTGTCCATCACTGGTGTCAGTGGAAGGAATAGTGTCCTATCATTGTTGTCTGTGGGAGGAATAGTGTCCCATCTTTGGTGTCAGTGGAAGGCATAGTGTCCCATCATTGAAGTCAGTGGGAGGAATAGTGCTCCATCACTGATGTCAGTAGGAGGAATAGTGTCCTACATTGGTGTCAGTGACGGAAATAGTGCCCCACTGTCGGTGTTAGTGTCAGGAACAATGCCACACTGTTGCTGACAGTGGGGGGAATAATGCCCCAAGGGCCAGATTAAAGCAAGCAAAGGGCTGCATCCGCCCCAGGCCACAGTTTGGAGACCCGTTGTAACAAAATAAAAGTTTTTGTGATTAGGTGTCACTTATGCATGCATTTATATTTGTGTGAGTATGTGGGGGCTCAATTTTTTTTTTATAATCACATAGAGGACAAAAAGTGATGATTTTTTGCTTCTACCAGGACCTGGAAGTGACACTTAACACGTTGCTTCCAGGTTATTAGCAGTAAGGCGAAATCAGAGAACAGATATTCACTGACCTCCTTCCCCTCTACTCGGTGACACCCATGTGAGGGGATGGACCCGACATATATGGCACAGCTGCTGGATTGCTTCCATCTGACAACTGGCTTGTGAGGTTTAAAAACTATCCCATCAGCTGCAGCCAAAGGGAGTGTGTGTAAGGCTCCGTTCACACCTATGCAATTTGCTTTTTGTCCATTTTGCTGTGCATTTTGCGATTCGTCTTGCGTTTTTCTACATACGTTTTTGATACATTTTACTGCGTTTTGTTCAGGTTTTTTTTTGTTAAATTGGAATTTTTTTTGTTGCTGGGCAGAATAAAAATGCAAAATGCAGAACCATGCATTTCAGCAGCTTCTCCATTGAACTCTATTGTAGCAAAAAACGCTGCTTTTTGCATTTAAAAAAGTCCATGACTGTTTCCAAAACCGCAGCAGCTCAAAAAAGCATTGATGTGAACATGTTCCATAGGAAACCACGTTACATGGACTGTACTGTGTTTCTGCAAAAAGCACTAAAATAGACATTGGTGTGAACGGAGCCTAAAGCCTCGTGCTGCTGGTGGCCATACTGGAACACAGTCCACGCCTGGAGAAGATATGTGCCTCAAGTGCCCTAATCAGGCAGGTAAACCTGGTCAATCTATAAAGACCTCTTCATAGTGACGCTGATCTCCCCCGGGTAGCAGCATTGTCACACCATTATCTTTTGAAGAAGTGGCATATAGAGATCACAAAAACGCGCAGAAATCTGTTTTCTATTGTTTTATAGACAAAGAAATATTCCATTGAGGACATCTGATATCTGTTCCTACTTTCCATCTAAAAGAAAACTGATGAGGGGCTGTACTGTATGGATGCTGTACTACCAATCAGGGTGGATAAAAATCAATGATTGTTTTTAAAAAAATAAAAAAAATCGGATTTTTTTTTATTTAAATCAGATTTTTTTTTAAATAAAAATGCTTTTTGAGGAAAATATATTACCATCCAAAGGTTATTCCATCACGAAATAAAGATTAGCTTTTTAATTATGTAGAATAAGGCTGTATATGTTTAATTTTTTTGGTAAATAAATTCCATGAATCCATTCACAATGTCATGCTCTTCCAGAGGTTTTTGTAAGATTATTGGGCAGTTTCTCTGCCTACAAGATATTATCACAGATGATTGGTTTACTTTTGCAGTTCTCAAAACTGAATTTGACTCAGCGGAGATCACATGCCTCTTCTTCACAGCAAAAATGTTATAACATGAACAGAGTTAAGAAAAAGACCTTCATCCTAACTTCTACAAAACTATGAATACAGAATCAACCCCTTCAGTGCTAAGTTTCAAGAAGTTCAGTGAATAGAATAGAAAACAATATTTTTCTGATTGTTTGGAGTGGAATAGATCTGCACAAGAAGAAAGTGAAACTAAGTGTGAGGAGGAAGGGGCTGACAGTCTAAGTTTCCTAAAATATATATATTTTGTTTAGCCAAATTAGTTAACAAACATGGATGTTTAAGCAAATCACATATGCTGGAATGTTATTGTTTCAGTTGAATAAATCTATTTAAATTGTTATTATTAAGGTAATGATTATTTTTCTCCTTCCTAAGTACAACAGAAAAGTTATCCAAATGTGAATGATTAACCTATTAAACTGGGGATAAAAAAACTAATATGAAAAGTTGTTATTCTAAAAATCTTCATCTACTTGTATATTAAAGTTATACCAGCAAGAATTAGTCTTTATGTAGAAAACTAGGATTTAAATCAAGCCTTACTGACTAGTGATTTAAATCGTAATTTAAATTGTGATTTAAATCAGTTTGATTTAAATCAAATCCACCCTGCTACCAATACATGTGTATCCCGGCCACAGTACATTTTAATTGAAAAAATTGCCCGTGGCAATAGTCAAAGCAGTATTAGAGCTAAAACCAATCATGTAATATATTGCAGCTTACTAATCATTAGATGTGGTGGCTGCATTTGTTTTCTTTTTTTTCAGGCTTTTTCCCCCCTCTGCTTTTACCTGGTGATCTGGCCAGTAACACACCTCCTGTATAAGAGTGCCCCCACTCTGGATGAAGGAGCACAGGGGGGCACCTTTGGACAGCAGCACTGTCGGTCTGAGGGGAGGGGAGTGTTAGGTGTACTAGCAGATTTAAAGGCAAATTTGTCTTTATTGAATTTTATATCAAAGTAAACAATACATAGCAAGAAAATAATAAGAATATCAACAATGGAATGGGCAAAAAAAAAAAAAAAAAGAACAGCATAGATATCAGTATAATCTATGGGGATGAAGGAAGGTGAATCCATACAGAGCTATAAAGGGGGCATCCCCAGACATGAGATATTCAATTATACTGAGATTATACAAAAAAACACAAAAAGAATTCACCCAGACAAAGAGAAAGGGAGATAAGAAAGAAAAAAAAGGGGGGGGGGAGGAGAAAGGGTAGAGGGAGACACTAGATATAAAGATAATGGAGAAAGAGAGGAAAGCAAAGAAGGAGGGTCGGGAGACGGATATGGCAGCAAATGTAGATAAGGTGACCATCTATCAGAATCTCAAGAGGGTGATCTCAATGGTCGGTCAGTCGCACTCCAATACAGATCACAGGGCTTCACTGAGGAACATGCCCAAATGAAA